TTTTTTTAATTTTTATGTTACACCTGATCTTGTTCTCTGATTCGGCTGTATATGCATCACGTTATTAAAGATCGTCAATTTTATCCAATTATAAATGCGATTTACTCACGACCAATAGTAACTTTGGGGAAAATTAGTTTAGCAGTGCTTATATTTTCAAAATTTCAGTATCAGTCGATTTCAGCATTAGCCGCAATAATTCTTAAAATCAATTTACAATAAATTAGCTTATAATAATGTTGTCATTCGTCGTTAAAAGTCGAATCTCAATTTAAAGTGGTAACCAGTATGTTAGTGATATAAGAAAGATGACAGACACACACTGATCACGGGTATTGAACTTGACCAATCAAATTTAATGGCTAGAGTAATACAAGGCATTGAACCAATTAGCGCTTAGTAGTATTAAAAGAAAAACCGAATATATATATATATACAATCGTTTTAAACTGATGTAATCTAAAATTTCCAAATACGTAAAAAATATATTGAATTACCTTTTCGAAAAAGGTATTAAACCATTTTTATGACGCAAAAAAAAAAAAAAAATTATACAATTTTTTTAAGGTTTGCAATAGAAAATGATACCTTATTTGGCCACAATTTCAATATAACTTCTATATATATTGTTAACCATTTAAGGGTAGGGTATTTTAGTTAATGTTTAGTCTAAAATAATGATAACGATAATCCATTTCATAAGTTCCGGATGGATAGGCAGGAATATTATCCGGTAATTGTTCTCATTTAATTTTGTACTAATGATACAATATCATATGATTGTGATATTGCTATAGACACATTTGTTAAATTCAATTATTTCTGATGAGAATTTTTTACAATGAATATCGATATGTCTAACACAGTTATATTTTTATCACAGGTTTATACACCTAATTCGGACAAAATCCGAATTGGGTGTACAAAACCTGCAATTATTATCTTGATGAAATATCTTTTAAACAGATGAACTGCCATTACAGAATGAACTCATTGATACCATTTACGTACAGTAATGGGCTTATGTAATGTCACCGGGGCTGATTAAATAGGTACGAGGGACTTGAAGTTTGCCATAAAAACTAAAATTTATGTGGAATTTCAACCCAAATTTATTATGTTGAGTTATCTGTCACATGTATAATGTAAACTACAGTATATTAATGAAAAAAATAATTCTTCAAAGATGGATAAGAATAAAGGTGTGAAAAATGAAGAATCTGGAAATTATGATTCTTAAAAATTAAAGGCCAGATCAGGGTTTTTTTGTTTCAACAGGAACAGAAAAAGAAATCCGGGGAAATAATTGGTAATTACTTTTTTGTGGCGGAAAATAAAGTTGTTATTCTCCCTTTTACAAATCGCAGGTCGGTTGTATTTCCTTATTAAGTTAAAGTTATCCCCAAAATGAGCGAAAGCCGTAACCTAAAATTAATAAGACGGTGAATAATTGATGTGCGTATGATCGAAGGTGACTGGTATTAAAAAATGGGGCAACCAATCAAATCTGCATACGCAAAAAATACCACGTATGTACTAGGGATCTGCAACCACACCTTGGTAGTTAGTCCGTACGTACATGCACATGCCTAACAAAGGTAAGCATGCTAATGAGCATGCCTTATTCATATGGTACATAATGTTCATTTGTTCGACCAGTTTATTATTTTATTTTACTATATCGATTGATATATTATTAGCTTAATTTTTTATCCTGAAAAGATTGATCGGCGCATATATGATGTGTATATTTATTAAAATTTCAGGGCTAATTTAAGTTATCGCTATATCAATACTCACACCGATTCCTGGTTTTTAGTAATATATGCAAATCCCGAACACGGGCACGGGAACTATGTTTTAATATAACCATACTCGGCACTTACAGAAGTGCGCCAACCATATATTTAAAAAAGGAAAGAAAAATTTGGCGTCAAAACAACTTTGAGATACTAATTGTTAGAAATGCAATTTTGTGTATAAAAAAACTTTGTTTTTTAATTACTAACCTTGAATTCTAATTTATTTATATAATTTCTCTTTTTGGCCTTTTTGGCGCAAATCCCTTGTAGAACCCTATTAATGATGGACACTATGCAGGATCTTCACGGTGAAATCCTAGCCGAGACGAAAACTAGTGACGGACTTAACCAATCAACGGAAATAAAAATAATAAAATAAATTTAAAGCAACAAACCCTATCGTTACAATTTGGATTAGTGTCGAGGGAGAACCTCATAGACATTCGTATGATTGCTACTTCGAATCAAATACCGGGTAACCATGTAGTTATACAATTTAAATATTTTATGAGAATGTAACGTTTCATTCATTTACTAACAAGAACACCAAACTTAATCATCTTTCACTTTGTAAAAATGGTAAGATTTAATATAAAAATACTGTAATCCAAAAATAATCCCAAAACTGAGATACTTCGCTTAGAAGACAAATATAATAATCGTTATTACTATTACTAGCCATAATAGCTATATGTAAGTACTGAACGCAAAGAAGCACTTAAGTGGTTTACAGAGAGTTTTTAAATCAAGCTCTTTACAAGCTACTTAACTTTGTTTAGATCTAAATCTTTTGGTTGGAGTATAAATAGATACATGTATATCTTAAGGATATAGACCAAGATACCAATCATCACTTATATAAGTAGTAACGGTCGAGAAATGATGTTATTATAATCAATACTGCAATAAAGTGTAAAGTTTCCGGGGAGTAGCGGAGGATACGTATTATGGGGGGGTAATAGACCAGATTTTGTGTCCGCACCTATTTTTAGATAGATGATCATCAATTATAAACTATATCAACCAATATATTTACCGTTACTTTTATTTTTAACTACGCTCCGGATATCTAACAATATCTGTTTTTCTAGTAACTAGAAAAACAGATACTGTTGGAGTGTAATTAAAAATAAAAGTAAATCTATTGGTTGATATAGTTGATAATTGATGATCATCCATCTAAAAATAGGTGCGGACACAAAATCTGATCTATTATTTTACGACAGGGCGAAACATGAGTTGCGAAATAGTGAAATCCCGCTATGATCATCACATGAGGGCAGGGTTGGCAATGGAGCCAAAAAACTAGTATCCATTGGCTCCATTGGGCTTCATTGCCAACCTTGCATGAGGGCGAAATCCGCTTTTATATAATAAAAGCCATAATAAACCGCGGATTTCACCCTAACCCGATCTACAAAGCGGATTTCACTATTTCGCAACTCAGGTTTCACCCTGTTCTATTATTTTTTCGTGTATTAAATTTATGGTTATGTGTTGCTCTATATAAATTAACCAAGATCTTGCATTCTAATTAGTTTCCCCAGAGATCACATGTCTACCATTTTGGCTAGGACAATTTGCTCAGTATACCTTTTTTCAAAGAAGTTTTCTCTTATTATTCACAAGCTTTCTGATTAAATACCAAATATATGCACATTGTGCACGTATTTTATTGTATATATACTCAAATTTGTCTATAATAATATACAACAAATTTATATATAATGCACATACTTTTGGGTTCAAGTTTTATACACTGGGATAAGATATAGGATTCCCACTTATACACATATCGACCAGAGAGAGTTACCGGAATATTATTATAATATGAATTTGAAATTATGATTGGCTAATGTAAATCAATTGCCCGAGTAACTTATTTATAAAGTACTTTTTGGAAATACAACGTTTCACCAATAAAAAATCATCGCAAAAACTATTTTCGCTTAGATAGAACGTCTATATTTATTATGCAAAAATAACCAGTAATAGTCAGTATCCCCATGAACTTTATTTAGAAGACAATATATGCCTACCGTTTATTGGACCAGACCAAATTATACTGTATAGTGAAGGTAACTGGAAACGTTTTCGTCTAAAACTATTTTATTACGTTAGGTTTAAATAACCTTTTATTTCTAACTGTTAATTTGTGTAGGTGCAAGCTCTTTAGTATAAAAGATCCGGGCTTAAGATTAAATTTTGTCGGTTATTGTAGTGTGTTTGGGTTTGTCAACCGTAAATTAATGGTTAAGGTTTTGGGCTATATTTTATCGATTCTTTAATGTAATGAGTTTGGTTTATTAACAATAAATATCACATTTACTCACTTTACACGCATCTATCTATTCTCTAAATATAAATAATAAACATTTTTTTGCGTATATTTATTGTCTGTAAGCTTCTTTATACGAAGTTTTTTTCGGTTTTAGTATTGTAATATTAATTAAAAATTATGTATTTTGATTGGTTAATTATCACAGGTAGATCTACAAAAATTAACCAATCATGCGAATGTCTTCGAAATCCCATATTGGATATCGGAAAATCCACATATTGCATATCATTACACATGATAATCTAATTTATTTTCACAAGAGAATCGGGAAGGTACAATATTTTTTTTTTAGGAAAAAATTATTGGAAATAAGGTAAAAAATGAATTCTTAGAGAATCCTTGTAGATTTATTAATAACGAATACAAGATATCTTTATCTTTAAAAAACTACATTCTTTTACAGTCTAAAAATACAATAATTTCACCAACCTAACCTAATAAAGATAATTTCAATAAATCCAATTACATGAATTCCAGGATAAATTTTTTTTTTTTTGGTTTGACAAAATAAAAAGAAATCTTTTTTTTTTTGGTTTGGCAAAATAAAAAGAATTTATTTTTTGCGAAACCTTTTTTTTTTTTTTTGTCTGCTAAAATAGAATGATTTTTTTTTTTTTTTTTTTTTAGCAAAATAAAAAGAAATCTTTTTTTTTTTTTTTTGTTTGGCAAAAATAGAAAGGATTTTTGAGCAAAATAAAGTTATAGTTTTAATTTGTTTTTTTAGATTTTACAAGCTTACTATGATTAAAAGAAAGTGAAAATGGAAACTTGGATCATATAAAAAATACCATCTATTTTGCCAATTAATGTTCTTTTTTTTTAAAGTCTTTTTGTATACATTCATTTCCTAACTTTCATTATCTGGGTGATCTGAGTATTCGTGAATTGATCCTATAGACCTGATGGGGTCTTATTATAGGACTAGGATTATCACTTTTTATAAATTGTGAGGTGGATGATGTAGACTGCGATGGTGAAACATGATGTGATTGAGGTGAAGGAGTTCGAGATGTTTCTATTGCAGGTTTAGGAAGAGTTATTGGAGGTATTGACTTGCTCATTAAATGATTTATTTGTGAGTGATCAATATGATTAGGAGATATTGGTGACAATGGAGTTCCAGTTCCCGAATTGCCAAGAGATTCTTGATAATTAAATTGTAAAGGTTCTATTATTGAATCTAATTCTAATTCTGGAGCCTTATTTGTTTCTAATGATTTCCCAAAAAAACCCAGGATCATTGAGATGTGATCAGCTGCAGTACTTTTCGTTTTGATGTCACGTTTTTGTCGGCGTTTTCTTCTTTTACCAAACCAAATATACAAAATGAAAGTGATAGAACCGGCAAGTATAATAGCTATTCCAGCAAAAATAACAATATACATGATTTCATTAGGATCATTAACACTTTCTTTATTAATGACATTATTAGTTTCAACGGTATCCCTTTTCCCAAGAGTTATTTGACCGTTTGATGATAACATTTTATCATCAAAGGACAACGTATTTGATTCAAAGGTGGAGTCAATTGCCCAAATAGTCATATTAAGAATTGTAATGTCATCAAAAGGGGCCATATTTGAATCGTTTTCTAATAATTATAAAAATTAATTAAATATTCGTAAATATACGTATATACAGTATTTATAAAATTCATAATCCATAAATATAAAATTTACCGAAAGTGATAGTTAATTGTTTGCCGACTCTATTAGTTGTGTAGTGATATCTGGAAATTTTCGTTATTGATAAATAGGTAAATGGGTAAATGGTAAATGAGACAAATTGACTTCATAAACCAACAACACAAGACACAGAATAAAAAATGATGACAACTATAAAGTGCATACCTCTCAAATGAACTAATGATTTTGGGATGCGACCAAAACCAAAGAGAGGTATCTAGTACAGCTAATGGTTGAGACATCTTGACATCGGACATACCACCATATATAATGATTTTATTGTCTAAGGTCAAGATTGCAGAATGAGCGATTCTTGGATTTGGAATATCACCTTCTGCCACCTTGAAATTTAAAATATGAATTAGTAGAGGGATAAGTTTATATAATACTAAACATAGAAAACTTACAATATCTTGCCATTCATTTATATTGATATCATATACCCAAATTTCTGACATTGGGACGAAGATCGAATCATTTGTTTGGCCACCCAACACAACCATTTTACCATTCGGAAGAATTGTTGCAGAATGGACTGTAATAAAGTCATTGTCAGATATAGTATAAATAAGTATAGAAATTAAAGGTAAAATATAATGCATACATGTTCTTGATCCCGGTCCATAAGTAAAGATCGGTTTAATCCAGTAACTACCCCAATTTTTAGAATTAATATTTGTGATAAAAATGTCATTGGAATAAGTGGTAGTTCCTGAAACAGGAAATTTTCCGCCAAAAATTACAAATAAACCATTATCTGTCATTGCACATGAATAATCTTGTAAATTAAAAGGGAATTCAGTTGAACTTTGGAAGAAATCCCATTTATTATTCTGAGCATTATATTTTCCAAAAATTTGTTCATCATCATCAGCCTGTTGAGAATGTCGACCACCAAAGAAATTTAATTGATTATTTGTTACATGAAATGCGTTATGATATGGAAATGAAAGAAAAATCGAATCTATGTCATCTTCAGATAAATTCATTATATCTGAAGAGGGTAAAGTTTTTGTAATAAAATCATCAGTCTCAGTCTTTTGTAGACCTCCATGATAATATATCTTGTTTCTAACAAGAATTCCAGTTAGACTGTAGACTTTTATAGGATTAACATTCAGAGCATGTACGGCGTATTTAATGCCTGTAATGCTGTTATAGAATGATAAAAAAAGTGAATACTTTGAAAGGTTAATAGCCATGAATATATGCTAATAATTTTATTATTCAAAACAGGCTGTGATGTAAGGAAGTAAATAAAGATAATTCACGTTATTTACTTAGTATTTAGAGGAATGGAAGTTTTTTTTTTTTGAATTTTCTAGAGGTGGTCGAATATTCTGAGAAATGAGGTTTTTTTTTATATAAACTTAAATAATCATGCTAGAATTTGAAGGAAAAGTATTTACTTATTAAACATGATGCATGATTCTCTCATTCCTCAAAAAAATGAAATCGACGAAAACTACATCATGTGTAAATACCCATTTAAATAGATTACGTCCTTGTAAATTCTTTGACAATCAGAATTAAGAGAATCCTTATTCAATGCCCTTTTTGTATGAATCTACACTTTGAATGGGATCATGTGACAATGATCTCAGAATTAAAAATTATTTATTTGTTATATGATCATCCTATGAAAATCTTCTTTATTAGTACGATTACTCAATATGAACATCTTAAGCCCGAAATCCGATCCGATCACAGAATTAAAACTATTTGGGTTTCATATTAATATCATGATCAGAGTTACCGGTCACAATAGCTAACAAAGACGACTAAAGGAAATAGCTAACGAAAATAGCTAGCAAATGGCCAATTGTTTATAAATCAATAATTGTTCATAAATTATTAGTTATCTTAAAAAATGGGACACTGATAAACTTTATCAATTAAATATAATAGATATTTCACGGTTCTCTATACCTATGATTAAAATACCCGGAATATCATGTGATAGTCCAGATGATCACTTAGAATTTAGAATATATTTTTCAGTTGTTTAATAAATAAATTACTTAAAAAGTCACGAGTTTAATTTTGGCAATACTTTTAAGTAAATTAAAGTTTTTCATATATGTATGCATTTATCATGACTAGATAAATGTTTTCGTGCATGGAATCAAAAGTGGATGGATATATGGACATAGTATCTTTCAAAGATAATTTGCTTCATTGAATTAGATAAATTCCGATATTTCCTAAAAATACACCTTCTTTAGGGTTAGTATTCGCATATAAATACATGCTTGTTGCCAATTATTGGTTCAAGTTTGGTATAATTATTCATTTCATGAGCAAAAAAAAAAAAAATTTCAATACTAGCACAAGTTAAGGCATAGATAAGGGTGTAAAATGAAAGCAAATAAAAAACAAAAATCGACTTTATATAATATGTATAAGCCATTATTGTTATCGCTATTGATATTTGTTATCAGAGGTGTTATCAGAAAAGACTTTTACCTGCCATATTGCGTGATTATCTGAAGCACAACCTTGTACACATTTGGTCAATGGTCCAGGATAACCCCTATTTGAAATTGCCATGGGATAATTATTCTAGATCATGACCTATTTACGGTATGATGAATTTTTTTACTGATAACATAATACCCGTGGAATAATTTTGTGTTACATCATAAAATATGTCAGGCGAACATTCAGCGTTGCCGAAAGTATTTCGGCATTTATTTTTGATATGAAATGTCTGAGTTATTTCAGAAATAACGCAGACACTTCATATTAAAAATCAATACTTTCGGCAACGCCGAAATAGTTTCTACGACATGTATAGGGCAGTGCAATATAATTATATAATCAATTAAATATGATAAAAATAGGTAAGTCTCTGGACACCTACAATTCACGTAATTAAACTGATTTTATACACTACGTACGTAGGTAGGTACATGACAATATCTACTTTCTTCAAATAGTTTTTGATTACTTGATCAAGTTGTTTAAGTTTTTTGTTTTTTTTACCGGAATTCGCACTATTTATGGAACTTATTTTAAAACTTATAGAATTCTGTTGGTAGTTACTAAAAAATAGTTCGGCAGCAGAAGTGATCAAAGATTTTTCGATGACTACCTGATTAAATTCGTAAGAAATATTATCAATATTTTAGTTTCTATTTTGAAAAGTAACCATTACAAATTTTGATCCAAGGTTCTTGACAACTGTTTAGTAAAATTCGTAAGACTTTGTTTAAACACTATATTCAGCCAGATAGTTTAAATTAGTAGAATTTGGTTAAAATATTTCTGACCAATTCATTAAGTTAGCTGATTGTTAAAAAAGGTGCAGAGAACGTTCGTTCTATGCCATCACATGAAATTCACGTGAAAATTATGTGTCCGGAGTGTAAAACATACGTTTTTGATACTCCGACAGATACTTTTTTGATACATCGAAACATACCATAAAATTAACCAATAAGGTTGCACGTAAAAAGTATAGAAATTTAGGGTATGTTTAGATGTATCAATAAAGTAGGTGCAGAAGTATCAAAAATGAATGGTTTGCGTCCGGAGTAGGGATCCTCATTTTCTGCCGCGATGGACCCAAATTCTGCCTGCTTTACAAATCAGTTATGCGAATTATGCGATAAATTATGCGAATCAAGCGAAAAGTTGTGACTAGAGTTTCATGTTTTATATATTAAACCCGATTAAAACCGGGCTTAACACATTAAAAATAACGCTGGTTCCAAACTATACGAATAGAGGTGTAAATTTAATGTGTTATGGCAAAAAATTACGTAACTCATTATAGTTACAAGCTACGGTATTACATTCACACCTTTAGTTGCGATCACTTATCAAAAATTACTCCTAATACATTTCCGAATTCTCCTGATACCAATACGACTTCCAATAAAAATTACAATTATACTTATTCTATTCTTCTGCTCTAATTTTACCATTTTATGCGCAGATTATCCTCTATTAATTATGCGAAATTAGCCTCATATGTTTTCGCAATATAATCTGATTTATGCACAGATTATGCCATCGCAGATCGGCGGTATTCCTAGTCCGGAGACTTTCCCCAAAATGTTAAATATATCGATATATATTAATTAAAACATTAATGTCGATATATTATAGATAATCTAATACTATATATATATCGATATAGATTAAAAAAAAAGATCAACATAATGTAGATCCTTTATCTTTGAGATAGATTTATGAAAAAATTGTCAGCCAATAAATTTTTTTTTTTTTTGAAAAAAGACGGCATATATAATTTCGAATTTATTATATATTATATACATAAATAATAATCTAAGAAATAATATAGTTAACCGCTTTAATTTTTATCAAAACTATTATATTTTTACATATACGTATAATTTGCCTATCAGCCAAATACAGTCTTTCATTTGGTATCAGTTTTAGTTTGTTAGTAATTAAATTGCCATTATGTAAACCTCATTGAATAAGTTTTTGAATTATTTGAAGATTAGATGATTGAAACATAATTCTGAATTTTTCATAAATATTGAAGTTTTTACATTTGAATAAATGACTTTTTAATCGCTCAATTGAATTAACAGTCTTCTTCGCAACAATTATATTTTTGGCGAGGTGATTTTCGATCATGTTTACCAGGTTCAGCAATTTTTGTAAAGAGGGTCTTCCATGAACATGAAATATTGATTTTTTTTTTTTTTTTGAATATTGATTATCATAACGATAATACTGTATCATTGTAAATTACGCAATCGAATTATTCCTAAGGCAGTAAGAACAGGATTCAATTTAGTAGATTATTCCGATATAGTTACACAATTGATAACAGATAAAATAGTTTTTTTATACGTTTTACACTACTTCTTTTAAAAGCTCGGGTAGCTTAACTTTCTATAAAACGAGAGTAAATTTAACGGATGAATTAATGCTTTCGCTTTGCCTTATAAAATATTCTCTGAATCCCCATGAATCCCACACCTTTTTTTTTGCAACCTGATCGGTCGATTTACTAAAATTCGAGATACCGATACGATTAGTTGATAATCATGTGTAACTATATCGGAATCATCTACGAATTGAATGGTCGCTCCTGTTGATAGTAAGGCAGATTAATCATAGTAGAAAAGAAAAGATTTCGTGGCATTGTGATCACCGACCGTTTCTAGCCCAGCGTAATATGACAATGATATAACGGTAAATTCAGACAATGTCGGAATGGTCAGCGATCACGAGACCTCGACCATCTGGAATTTACTGATTCCTGCTTAGCTTATTACTATTTATATTTTCCATTAACGAATATTTATATAATGAAGATAAAGAGTGCAATTATGGACTGATTATCAAACGCATTCCATTCACATACGTTCTTATTTATTATGTTACAGACACGGAACTCGTTTTTATATAAAAATAAATCGAAGTAAGCTTCATTTAATCTTCCAAGACTATCATTGAACCTAACTTGGTACGCATTTCCGAGTGTTCATCATCATAGACATCGTTAGCGGTATCTTTAATAAGTTCAATTCTATAATTATAACTTTTTATAAGTTGCGATGACTTTTTTTTAAAGTTAGTATTGGTCTGGAAATCTATCTATAATAACTTTTCAATAAACTATTTTTTATTTTTTTGAATTCATTGTGTACCAGCAGTGGAACTCACCATGTGTCTAAAACTTTTGGGAGTCTTCTTGACTGATATATAATCTCTTTTAACCATTAATTTGGTTTGTTTTTTGTGACATTTTTAATAAATTACATGCATTCATTTCGAACAGGTCTGCATTTTCTTTTAATCATGAGATTTTCTTTGTTAAATCGATGCAATCAAATTCTGATCTAGAGTCAATGCTTTAATTCGAACTTAATAATTGTATCCGGATTTAACAATCATATCTAGGCTTAACATTATACGTATCCTGAGTCCAGATTATGAGTGGACAAAGGTAATGTGCTTACATACATATTTAAATCTAGATATTACAATTATTATCATTAGATCTGGATTTATTTGTTAGATTCAATTATTAGATTCGGTTCCAAGCACAACTCCAAATAGTCGTTGTTGTTGATGTATAGTTTTGTTGAAATAGTTAATATGCCAATTTGTCAATTGATAAAGGATATTGTTTTATATCCTTTTTTTCAAATGTTCAATATAAGAACTAATTATTGTTCTTAATATGATCTATATGTTAAAAATTGTTAACAGATTTTATATGGTGCCGCCAAGTGAAAACCAGAAAGTCTAAAAATAGAATTCTTTATATAAAGGAATGCGGTCTTTTAACCGATCTGACTATAATAATCAATTATACTGTTTTTTTTTGATCACAGCATCATTTAAAGTCCGTATTATATTGTATAAAAAAATATATATTTTTAGCCATCTCGGTTTTCACTTAACAGCACTATATGGTACCTTGAAGTAGAAAGGCCAAAACTACCTGTTGCGCTGTTGAGCAGTACCCCGTGTGCTATGTATGTTAAATATTGGACGTTATAGACTTGGACTTTGATCATGAACTACATTCGCGATATCACGTGATCACTCGAGGTACTGTAATTGGTGGGTAATAAGTGTAAATCAATGATGTAACATATAGATAGTTTATTATAGTATATATCTATCTTTCGTAATATGTGCGTCAGCTTGTGCGCTATCTTTTATTAAAGGTGTAGTTATCAATTTGTAGTCTAATAGAGTTAGATTTTGTATAAATAGAGTAGGGCTTAGTAAATTCGAACAACGGTTCTTACTTGGGTTCTTTCTTTTTCTCATAATAAAGTGCATATCTGACTAATCAATAAAATGTTGGTTGTTTTCCTTGTGGGTTCTTATGTATGTTGTCAACATCATTAGAGTTGTAGATATGGTTCCGGCAATCTATAATCGCCAATCACGTGCTCAAAAAATCGGAACTTTTCAAAATGCTAAAACTTATTTCAAACAAGGTATTTTAAAAAAAAACAAAACGATAACATTGTAGAGCTTATTACAAAGAACAAAGTTATCGATCAATTTTTTGAAATAGCGTTTCCTTTAAAAGTTCTAGCGTTTTGCGAAATTGAAACAATCATGTGAGGATTTGCAGAATTTGATTGGCTTATATTATTTATATCTGATCGAAGAAAAAGTTTATTTCTCATTTAATTTGGCTCATATTTTCTTTTCAATTAATAAATAAAGCTCTGCTAGGCTCAAAAAAACTAAAAATATTTGCTATGTTGAAAATTATTAATAAATGATTTGAATAACTAAATTTTCACTAAGACTTAAAAGATTAAAATTATATTATATATTTAATTTACCTTACTAGAGAGCTAAATGTTGAAATTTTGGAAGTTTAAGGTGATTAAATAAATATGAATTTTTTAATTTACTAATTTTAATATAATTAAATAATTTAAAATTTTAAATATAAATTTTGTATTGGTATATGTTTAACTTTAATTCTAAAGCAAACTAATAATAATAATTGTTATTGCTTGAATATTAAAGATTTTGTATAAAATAAATATTAAATATTTTAATATATGGTTGGAATTGTTGTGTTATTTTTATTAATGTTTTTATAATTGTGAGACAATTATATGAATATTATTGAAAATAAAAATTATATCAAATAATAAATGTAATATGTTAAAAAATCTTAACAAATACATTAAATCAATTTTAAAACAATAAATTAATTATCCTTACTAACCATCTTAATTTAATATTCACACAACACTCTATTCTATCTTCTTACAACTATATTACTCTACCTGGCAACAGCACATCTATTCCTATACATATACTTAACAATATTATTGAAGATACTAGTTGTAACAACAAACAATTATGACTTTTGTCTCAGAACATAAGCAAAGTATATGATTCAGTCAACTTAGAACTTTTTACAAAGTCTCTTAAATGGATATCAATGTTTCAAACACTTATTAATATACTTACCAACCTTTTTATCAATCATCAAAACTGAATTATATCTAATCTTAGTCTTACAATTTTTATTCTGTTAAAAATAGTATAGATCAAGGAGAAACTATAACTTCATTATTCTGGAGAATCTATTATAATCTTCTAATTTATAAAATTGTCTCACAATTTTCAGGTTATTCTTTATCTGTATCTTGGAAAACCAACTTATACTTATCTTAAACTTAAATTTTAAAAACATCCATATCAGTTTTAATTTATATAGATAACACTCTCTGGATTGCAAAGTTCAAAAAGGAGCTTAATCTAATAACTAAAACTGCCATGTTCTTTTATCAAATGACTAATATTCAAATTAATCTGACAAAGTCTATTCTAGTCACAAACTCCTCTACCACTTCTATGTGGTTTTCTGGATCTTTAATTTATTCTATTCCTAAAAATCAACCTTTCAAGTTTCTGAGATGTTGGTTTACATTTAATAATAAATAATCTCAAGTTATTAAATTAATAAAAGAAAAGGCTTATAATCTCATAAATATCACTAACACTAAGAAAATTACTGACAAACAAATTGCTTATATTATCAATACAGTAATTATCTTAACTTTGGAATATTGATTATATAACACTATTCTTCCTTATACTATATATAATCAAATTTTATCCAAATACCTTACTATAACAAAACACAAGTCTCATCTTTCTAGATCTATATCAAATAACACAATACTTAATCCATATTTATATAATATTTATAATATATAAAATATTCAATTTCAGCATCATATCTCTAATTATCTCCAATGAATTAACAATTTTGACCTTCTTGGCATTACAACTCAAATTAGACTTTAACAACTATAAAATAATTCATAGTCTTCTATTAATATTTTATATCATTCTAAACCAATTATTAATGGTCCTAACAGACATTCATTAAATTTAAAATTATTCAACTTTTCATCCATCTTAGCTTAGTAATCTCAACTAATCCTAATATTATATAGTCTCATACAATTAGTAATAGAGGCCAGCCACTAGAATCAATCTTATCTTAGCACCCCAAATATCCAATCTTTAAAAAATAACTTAAACAATCTAATATTATATATCTTGAATAACTCTACATAGCTGATAACAATATCTTATTAGATTGGAAACATCTTTCATCTAGACTCTTATTCTTATCTAAAGAAAGAAAACCTTTTTGGTTTTCTTAGCTAGAAGATACAATTCTAGTACACTCTTATTATCAAAATATATTACCACATTACCAATCACCTGGTCATAACTCTTATGTTTATTACACTATTAACATATCTAAAAAATTTACAAAATCTAAATTCTGATTACTTTCATATTACAATGAAGAAATTATTATTAGAAAAATATAAAAATACTTTCTCTCATCTAACCATTACTCCATCACTTACTGGACTTCTAATATAGATTTAAATTACTCAAAATTCTATCTTTTACTATTTGCTGAATACAAATAATATATAAGATGCCATCTTAATTCTCACAGAATTAACCAAACTTGTACTGTTAAAGTTTCAGCAGTTATCTCAACACAATTTCTTGGTAGAACTAATTCCAAACACCAACTCAATCTTAATGCAAATTACTTGGACCTTATTTGCTTTACAGCTGTTAAGTACTCAACTCATATTTCTCCTTTACCTATAATTCCTATTCCTAACTCAATTACTTCAAAAATTTTTATTCTAAATAAAACTATCAACAAACTCATATCTATCTCTCAACTTAATCACTCTTACTAATAATTATTCTTTTATACAGATGGTTCAGTAATCGATATTGATATTGATCAATATACAATAGGTATTTGTTGAATCCAAGTTGATAACAATAATCAAACTATTAACTCCTTTTCTGCTAAAATACAATTCTGGTCTTCATTATATAAAGCTGAGTTTTTTTCAATTATTACTGCAATTTCAACAGCTCTATGCAATTCAGTAGTCAATATCTTTATTGACTCCTAATCAGTAATTTCCAAATTTAACAACCTTCAATTTTACTCAAATCATCCTAATAAGTTATTTAAATTCAATTCATAGCCTATTTGACATACTCTTTCTAATATTATCAAATTATACAAATTACAAATTATCTTCTACAAAGTGCAAACTCATTTAGATAATAATCTTAATAAATAAGCAAACTCTCTTGCCAAACAACATCTATTATCACCACTTCTTTCATTTAATTACACAAACCTTTATAACTCTTATTATATTCTTCAATGGAAGCAACATTATATAGAACTTCCTACAAGATATTTTATTAAGCAAATATGTAAAGCCTACATATTAGCTATATGGGCATTACAAAAATGTAATAGTGAGTGGTCATACTTCAATCAGGATATTGACTGGAGATCCACTTGGCTTTATTTCAACCATAATCAAAAACCCTCATATAATATTACTAATTTTAGACTCAATCAACTAAAATCTTTTAAAATCAAAATTCTTCTTAATGAGTTACCAACATATCAACTATTTCATACTATTTATCCAAACCAATATTCAAATACTAATTATTTTCATTGTAATCTAGCTAACTCTTATTCTCATTGGCATATCTGCACTAATACACTTTTGCTTAACCAAATTATTCAAATATCTACCAATCAAATTATCTTCAACAAATTACCCAATCTTGAAACCTACCAAAAAAATGACCTAATATATAAAATCTTTCATCATCTAGCTCTCAATTCCTTATACATCCTACCTAATACATTTTAC